TCCTCCTCATGATGGTCAAGGTCACAAACAGAAGGAGCTTCTGAGAAACTGGCTCAGCCCAGAGGAGCCTGAGGACACACGATGACTAAATGTAAGGTGGGTCCCAGATCAGATCCATGGATAGACCCAGGTAAAAACCGGGAAATCAGGATGAAGTATGCACTTTAGTTAAAATCATGGATGGGTATCAATTTTCTGGCCATAAAGAACATACCATACTCATGTAAGATGCTGACTACATGAAAAACTGGTTGTGGGGTGTATGACAACCATGTACTCTCTTCACAATTTTTCTGTTGATACAAATCTAAAACCGTTCTAAAAAATAAAGCCTATTCTAACAAATGAACCAAACAACAAACCTGGACAAAGTCTCCATCTCCTGGCCCTTTCCTGCCTGGCCCCAGAAGGACAGTCCCCTGGGACCAGCCTCGTCTTCTGGATCCCGTCTCCATGGTGATGATAAAGTTGGCTGGGGCTGGAGCCAGCAAACTCTGGGGGAGTCCCAGAGGCCACACCGGGCCCCCGAGGAGGCCCCAATGGGAAATGCCACACCTGAAGGTTAACTTCCCCTACCCTACCCGCCCCCTGCGCACCCCCCACCCCCGGCAAGGTCCCCACACAGCTGGAGCTGGAGCTCCTCCAGAGAGGGAAGGCGTGCAGGGCCAGGAACCCCGGGGGCACCATCTCTAGCACTCATCTCAGATCATTCTTGACACCTGGCCCAGGAGATGCTGCCACTCATCACTCCATTTTACAGATGGGGAAACTGAGGCTTGGGCATGTGAAGTGGTTGGGGGCAGGACTGGGATTTGAACCCAATTTCTCTGACTCCGGAGTCACCTCGCCAGTGGTTCTCCACCTTGAGTATGTCCTGGAATCCCTCAGAGAGAGTGCGAGAAATGCCGGAGCTCCTGATGCGGCAGGTCCAAGTGGGTCCCGAGGATTCTCACCTTTGTCTGGTTCCCAGGTGGTGCTGAGACAGCAGGCTGGGGATCCCCGCTGAAAACCACAGGGCCCCACCGTGCTGATTTCTGGCAGTACCCCACAGTCAAGGCTGACCAGGACAGAACTGCTCACAAACCAGGGAAACCCCTCGCCACCCTCATGTGCCGTCTGCTGAGCCAAGCCCTGACGACCCGCCCTAGGGCCTTGAGCCCATCTCCCCGTGCCTCAGTCTCCCCATTTGTAAAGTTAGCTACGTTGTGCAGACACAGTGAGGACGAGGTGAGTGGCGGCGGGGGACGCCCAGGACACACCAGCCTTTACACGAGAAGGAGGGAGGCAGTGGACCATTCCCACAGGTCACGGCTGCTATGGCTGGGCCTTGAGCACATGGAGCCCGTTCAAAGTGTCCCCACGCTCCTTTGGAACCAGAAACACAAGGACTTTGGCACAGCCCTCAGATGTCACACTCTTGTGATCGCCCACCTTGAGCTGCGATCACCCACCTTGAGCCAGACAATGAGCACGTTCTAAAACTAAAACAGAGAACTGCCTTCTTGTCCCCCACGCAGGAGGCTCAGAGGTAAAGTGACATTTGGTGGGTTTGAGGAGAGTCCCCCCCAATCCACGCCTACTCAGGACTGCAAACTCCAACCTTAATTGGAAATAAGTTCTTTGCAGATGTAATTAGTGAAGGATTTTGTGATGCAATCATCCTGTATTAAAGACAGGGCTTCCCTGGTGGCTCAGAGGTAAAGCCTCTGCCTGCAGTGCAGGAGACCTGGGTTTGATCCCTGGGTCAGGAAGATCCCCTGGAGAAGGAAATGGCAACCCACTCCAGTACTCTTGCCTGGAAAATTCCATGGGCGACAGTCCATGGAGTCGCAAAGGGTTGAACATGACTGAGCGACTTCACTTTCACTTTTCACTTTAAGTCCAAAGACTGGTGTTTTCGTAAGACAAAAGCAGAGGGATGTCTTTCTAAGAGAAAGGGCCCAGGGACACACAGGGAGGAGGCTGTGTGGAGACAGAGGAAGAGGCTGGAGGGAGGCAGCCACAAGCCAAGGACGCCTGGAGCCCCCAAGAGCTGGAAGACGCAGCAAAGACCCCACCTCTGGAGCCCCCAGAGGGAACATGGCCCACTCTGGCTTCAGACTTCAGGCCTCCAGAACTGGGAGAAAACATGAAGAGACTTCTGTGGTTTGAACCGCCGCGCACCCACCCCCTCCCACCGTCTGTGATAATCTGTTACAGTGGAAACTTAAGACACCATTTGAGTTACCTTAAGACACCATCTGAGTTAATGTTAAGATGAACTAAGTTTAGGATTCACGTGAAGATGTAAGAGACCATGTGAATAAAGTTTCGGGTGACTGTGGTCACTTCAAGCGCTGAATTAAAAGGCTTTCCTCTGAAAAGGCCATGCCAGTGGTGGCTAAAGCTAGGCCTCTGGGACAGACTGCCTGGGTTCAAACCCCACCTGGGTCCCTGCTGTATGGCCCCAGGCAAGTACATGACCTCTCTGTTTCTCAGCTTTCTCATCTGGAAACTGGGGATCCCAGAAGTGCCCACTTCACAGTGGGAGGAGGGATGGATGAGCCACAGTTCCACTCAGAATGCACAGACCAGAGCCTTGTCCAGGGCCAAGCCCCCAGGAAGATGCCACCATTTACCCTTATTATTTGACTAGATTATCTTGATTTCTGGAATTTATCCCAAAGAAATAATAATTTTAAAAATTCATAAAGTGGGAACTTCCCTGGTGGTCTGTACTCCCAAAGCAGGGGACCTGCATTCAAATCCTGGTCAGGGAACTAGATCACGCAAACTGCAACTGAAAGAGCACATGTGCCGCAGCGAAGACCCAGGGCAGCCAAATAAACCAGTACTCAGGGCAGAGATTTTCAAAATGACATTATCCACAAAAGCAGCATGCCGGAAATGACCCAAAGACCCATTCTCAGCTGAACTGGACAGAGGCATTCAAGCACTGTGAAAGTGACACAGCCTGGACGGACGTGGACGACTGCGGATGTCAGGGGTGCGGGACCCAGCCCTCGGCAGTCTGCTGTAAGAATGAGGCTCCAACAGGGGCAGGGCCCAAGGCCCCAGGGCTGGTGGAGGACCTGGGTGGTCTTCGTCAAGCCCAGGGAGAGGGCTTCTATGCCCCGCCCCACCCCCATCCCATGTCCTGAGTCACACCCAAGCCTGTGTGGGCCTCGTCACCTCCAGAGACCAAGGCTAGATGCGGCTGCGGGTGGGATAGGGTGATGGGTGGGCCCCGGAGAGCCAGCAAGGAAAAATGCATGAGCACCCCTCGCTCCCACACTCCTCCCAGCACTTAACCCCTCCGGGGCCCTTCTAAAAGCTCCCAGCCCAGGAGCACTCAGCCTGCCGCCCACCCGGGCTTCAGTCCTGTTGGTGGGGGTGTGGTGGGGGCCTCCTCCCCACCCGGCCCCCAGCCTCGGGCGGGGCGGCAGCCGCTTCCTGGAGGCCCCTCCAGCGTCCTGGCTTCTCAAAGGCAGACAGCAGCCAAACCTGGAGGCAGCCCAGCGTCCATCCAGGGTTGAACAAACCAAACGTGGCCCACACACCACGGACTACTAACTACGCAGCCTCGAAAAGGAAGGAGGTCCCGACACACCTGCCACAACACGGACGAAGCCTCCCCACCACGCTGAGTTTGAAGGAAGCCAGACGCAAAAGGGCAGAGGCCATACGATTTGCTTCCGGGAGGCACCCCAGTGGGCACTTTCAGAGAGACAGAAAGTAGGTGGTGGGGGCCAGGCCTCTGGGGAGAGGGAGGGAGGGCTCATGTTTAATGCGGACAGAGTTTCAGCGGGAGAATTCGGAGGAGCCCTGGGGGTGACGCTTGCACAGCAACGTAAATGCACTCAGTGCCACTGGGTTGTATGCTTAGAAATGCTTAACAGGGGAAACTTTATGTTAGGTCTATTTTACCACAACTACCAACCAGAACTGAAAGCTTGTCCCGAACGCCTATTCTGTGCCCAGCACGGTCTAAGGGAAGAGCGTTCTTGAGCCCCAAGGCTTTGGTCTCTGGACCCAACCACAGGACCCTACTCTCCTGGACGCCCGCTCAGCAAGCACCTCCCCTGACTCCTCCATGGGGACTGCTGCTCCCCACTCTCCACCGCTGCTCCCCACTGGTCTTGGAGGAGTGGTCCATCAAGATGCCTCCATCCCCACTGATGGCCACCCAGGGGCTCTCCTGGGACCTCTCATCCCAGCACCAGGACCTGAAGGCTGGTCCCTCACCCCTGGGGGGACCCTTCAGTACCTCCCGAGGACTTCCTATCACAGAGGGACGGAGCAGGAGCCAGCAGGAGGGGAGTCAGAGCTGGCGGGCATGTTGCACATGGGCGAGAAGCCGTCAGGGTGACTCCCAGATGTTAGGCTGGGGAGATGGGGGGAGCATCTGTCCCCCAATAACAAGTTTCCTGTGGGCCCCGTTGGTCTGAGGTGCCCCTGGGACATCCGGACGCTGGATGGAAGGGTCCATGGCAGAAGACAGAGGTCTGGGCTGCCTCAACCAACACCTGCAATGCCCCTTGATGATTCTGCATCCTGGAACTCTCCCCCTGCTGGCCCTGCCCCTCTCCCAGCCCTCCTTGCCCGGCCCCTAGCAGGTGGGACCACCTAGCTCACCACCTGCGTCGTGGTAACAGGCCCTCGGGGTGGACAGCAAACCCCCCCCCCACCGCACCCCAACACCTTCCTGCAGGGCCCCTTACTCCTGACCCTGCACAGCCTGGAGTGTATCCTTCTGAGGGGGGCAACCAAGGCGTGGGGGGGCACTGCAACGTCCCCCCATCACTCAGCTCCAGGGAAAGAAAGGCCTGGAGGAGCAATCAGAGTCACAGCGCACACTTACACAGCGCCTGCTGTGTACCGGTGCTGCCTTTAGTGGAGGCGCCCCCCTCCAGTCCAGGGCAGCACCGCCGGGGTCTCAGGGTCTACCCTGTCTCGGGCCTCACTTCACCTCCCCCCGGGCACCCCCATGAAGAGCTGGAGGGAGAGAGCTGCCCGCTTACCTTTCAGGCAGGTCAGCTTCAGCCCCATGTCGGCACCTCTGCAGCCTGGGGAGAGAGGAGAGGCTTGTTTGTATCGGCCACGCGTGGCCAGGTCCCCACCCGGCCTGATGGGTGCACAACAGGAAGCAGCGGTGGAGGGAAACCGCGGCCAAGGTCACGGCGCCTGCCGGCTACATCTGGGCTGAATTTGCTCAGAGACGAGCGTGTGCTGGTGGAAAAAACTTTCAGGCGTCTCAAAGTTGAACACGCTGGAGGGAGGCCCGGTGCGGCGGCCGAGCTGGTGAAGGTGCAAGTAGAGGTCTGGCCCAGGTGATGGGGCAGAACCCTGCCTTCCAGGGGCCAGCATATGGCTGTTCCAGGGGCAAGAGGGCCCCAGGTGGGGCTACAGGGTGGCCCTGAGCCCCGTGATGTGTGTGGTGTGCCTTCTGTTCAAATGAGGCCTCCTCTCCTAAAATGCAAATTCTTTCACGTCCTAACGGTTGAAAGGAGCCCAGTCCTTGGTCCATGGGGGTTAAAATCTCCCACCATATCCCTGCAAGGTGGGTGTTCTGAGGAGCTGCTGGAGAAACAGGCAGCAGCTCATGGTCTCCTGATATTTGACTCTGTTACAACCCTGGGAGGTGCTATCACGGTCCCCACTTTATGGATGAGAAAATCAAGGCTCAGAGAGGGGGTGGTGGCTACTTGAGGCCACACAGCTTACTAGGAGTGGAGCTGGGGTTCCAACCCAGGACTGCCCTGACCCCCGTGAGGGCCCCCCCACAGGGGTCTGTGAAGCTCTGCGGGCGGGGGGGGGCAGTGCTCGGGGCTCTGAGAGGCTGAAGATGGGGATTCCTGCACTCGCAGGAAGACACCAGGGGCCGGGGGCTGGCCATGAGCAGCGCCCCACAGGACTCCACCTCCCTTGCACTGCAAGCCTGGATGGGAGGCTGGGATCTGAGACAGGCGCCCTGACGGCTGACTCTGGCTTGGCCAACTGTCCGTGCGTGCCCCCACCCATCCTGCTGTCTCCTCCTCCCTCGTTCCTTGGGTCCAGGCCTCCCAGCCCCCTTCTCTACTTTCCTCAATATATTTCTTACACATTTCCCATCCTGGCATCTGGTCTTGTGAGACCAGACACAAGTGGATACAAGGCCAAACGGGACCCTGCACCTGAGGCCAGGAGGCCAGAGGAGGGTTCCGGTCCCAGCCTAGGAGGCCTGGGGACCATGTCCCCAAAGACAGGAGCCAGCCAAGCGGGAAACCCCCAGGCTGCAGGAACAGAATGTTCAATGGCCCAGAGGACGCGTGGGGGTGTGGCCCACCGGAGGAACAGGTCACAGAAGGGCCCAGGCTGAGCTGCACCGCGGGGTCTCTGGAGGCTGGTGACACAGTGGAGGGTTATCCTGAGCACATGTAGTAGCTTCCGAATTCCAGCGGGCTGTGCAGGCCAGCCCCCACTCCAGGCCTTGCTAGGAGCAGCCTCGGCACCCCCAGGAGCTCATTAACAGTGCAGGCTCTCTGCCCCACCTGGATGCACTGAGCCGGAATCGGCGTTGTAACAAGGCCCCATGGGACCCAGATGCTCAGCTCTGGGCCAGAAACCACAGAGTCTGAGAACTGGAGAAGGCGGGGCAGCCATGGTGCGGGGGAGAAGCTGCTGGAAGCTGGGGTGAGGCACAGGCTGGTGAGATGGTGGGACCACAGGAGGGGTCAGTCTGGAGGAGGGGCCAGGGCAAAGGCTCCAACTTTAGCCAGGCTGGACTTGTGGGCAGGTAGGGGGTGGACTGCGGAGAGAGAGGCCAAGAGGGATGGACAGACACGGATGGGAACAGTCAGGATGGCTGCGTGTAGAGGAAGCACTTCCTACTTGGAGTAGGTCTGGGGCTGCAGCTTCCCTGGCCGGGACCAGAGCCTGGCAGGGGGTCCCTCCCCCAGAGCTTCCCCACTGGACTGGAGTGTGGTCTGGACTGGGATTTTCCAAAGCTCTGGAGGCAGGGGCAGGGCAATTCAAACTGGTGGGATGGGCTGCCAGGAGAGTGTACCCTTCCTTGGGTGGGGGGGGCGGCGCAGGAGGAAGAGAGAGCCCCAGAAAAGGCCTGTGGGGTAGGGATGGGCGCCTCTCTCGAGCACCCACACTGTGCCCAGTGCCCTCAGGAGCGCCTCCATTCACGGTCATTTAAGCCTCACGATAGACTGGTGACACTGGGGCCATTCCGATCCCCACATTGCTGATGGGGAAACTGAGGCACCGGTAAGTTAGTTAACCTGCAGAAAGGTTGCATGGGGAGCAGGTGGTGGGGCAGGGATTCCAAGCCTACGCTTTCAACCCCAGAGCTCCCCTCCCATCTCTCTCGTGGGTCTCTTGCACAGGGGTCTGTGGCCCTGAGGTCAGGGCCATAGCAACCTCCCAGGGCCCCTGCTGGCCACACCACATCACAGCCATGCAGTGAACTCATCTCACAGTCCACGCTCTTCCGTTCTGTCTGGGGTACGTGCTGGCCACCGCCCACCCAACAGCGTACACAACACATCCCGCCCCAGGGCTACACGACAGTGATTCACACTGAAGCCCACACTGACGAAGCGAAGGCAGGACTCTGCTGTAAAGTCCAACAGAGAAACAGCAGCAGAGGCGTGGAGGGTGCGGGGTGCTGCCCTGCCTGCGACTGACGCTGGGACACAGGCGTTCACGACGTGCTTCTGTCTCCAGTTTGAAAAGTAGTAAAATGGTCAAAAGAAAGACACCTGTCCAGGAGGTGACGGCATGGGGCTGTGGTGGAGTTTTGTGATTTTGATGGCTGGGCTGTTTTGTAAGAGGCGGTCCCTGCTCTGAGGACACACACTGGGGTGTTCAGGGTCCCGGGCCATCATTTCTGCAGCTTCACTCTCAGAGTCTGGCCAGAAATCCAAGCCAATGAAGCAACCATGGCTACATGTTCACTTCCAGTGAAGGATATACACTAGCTTCTACTGTTCTTGTAACTTTTCTGAAACTCGAAACTATTCAAGGGAAGCATTCAGCAAGGGAAAGCAGAGAGCAATTATTTACCCAGACTCCACGGAACACCCCCCCGCCCCCAGCCCCGGTAGCAGCCAGAATGCAGTGGGAGCATCACATCCAACTCCCCTACCCCATCTCTGATGTGGCTGGAGGGGTGGCCAGGGACCACGGCTCTGGCTGGTGGAAGGTGCTCTGTTACACTGCTCCTCCCAGAAAACTGTCCTGAATGGATAGGTTTTGTCACCAAAGCTGTCCTGTGACTTGAAAAATACCTATCTCCTAACATTCAGGGAAAAAAGGAAGGAAGTTAAGGAAGGAGGAGGAGCTGACAGCCTGGATCCAGGAGACACCGGGGGACGGGGAGCTGTGCGAGGGTCAAGCAAACGTCACATGGTGAGGTCAGGGTTAGGTGGAATGATTCTATTTCTGGTTTCTAAAACTTCCAAACAGAGTTTTCACCAACCGATCTTTCTCTTTCCCATGCACGTTGCTGTAACGCCCCACAAGGGCAGGAAGAATGAAGTGGCCTTGGGAGGGGCTGAGAGGAACCAGGAGTCTGTGCGGAAGGTGTGACCTTTGGCCAGTCATTTTCCTCTCTGAGCCTGAGACGCTGAGGCTTCACCGCCCAGCCCGCTCCAGCTCCATGTCCTCAGTTATAGAACAGGCATCCTGACCCAGCCTCCAGCACAGGGCCTGGAGCCATCGTCACCATCGTCATCATCTGTCAACGTGACGGTGTCACCCTTTAGCAGCCTGTGGGGACGCTACGTGGGAAGAGAACCAGGGGGCGGCCTGCCATGCGGTCCCCTAGTCCGAGGTGTAGCCTGTTATAGCAGAAGGAGGAGGCGCTCCCCAGGGTGGTTTATGTAGGACCGTGGACAGCGCCCCGTCCACTCCACTCCCTCGGTGATCAGGGCTGCCCCTGAGATGGCAGGTACCTTTGCGGGAGACAGTCCCGGTAGACGGGATGTTCATCTGTCCAAATGGAAGCCATATGGACACCTGACTGTGGGGAGCGGGCTACGTCCCCCTAAACTTCATCTTCACCACTGACACAGATGTCAAGCTAATGCTTTCAAGAGGCTGAGTTCATTACAAAAATTCCTAAACCTGACAGCACCCATCGAGATAACATCATTGCATCCCTGACTTACAGATGACGGAGTGGAACTCCGGGCGGTCCGGCAGCAGCTCTGGGAGGCCAGAGCTCAAAGCCAGGTCAGTTGCACCACATGGTTTCTATGTCTATCATTCTACATGCTGAGGTCTATACCCGGAAGACACACATTTGTGCAATTAGGAAATAAAGGTTTAATGGGTGAGAAGAAAAAATTCCATGGGAGGGGCCCCCTTAGCTTGGCAAGAAGGTAGGTAAGACGTCAGGCCGGAGAGAACCGCACGTTTAGGTATAAATGTTCTCTCTCTTTCACACATTTGCAGGAGTGTGAAAAACCACCCTTTCATATCGAATCAGGCTCTGTTTATGGTCCCTTCAAAATATCAGGCTGTTAATTATTTGCACAACAGCTTGAGTTAAAACAGGTCCTTTCTTGCACTCGGGCATAAGAATCTCCCTACCGCCAAACGGTCATGACAGAACGCTCTCTGGTGACACGGATGGGCAGTGAGGGATAAAAACTTACTTCCTCCTGCAGAGGTCTGCCTCTCCCCTGAGCAGTGGCCAGAGAGATGGATGTTGGCCACTCTGCACACCAAATGGCCCCTTATGGCCCCTCTGAAGCCTGGGCAGCTCCAGGGCAGAGGACACCCTTGGCCAGGATGTCTGTTACTGTCTTTATAGCTGCCTTGCAGATAAGAGCCCCAAACTACCAGCCCACAGCAGGGTAGTGATCGCCAGCCCACTCCCTGCAGGTTCCTGATGCAAAGAGAACAGTAAACTAATGTGTTCTCTGCACAAAGTGTAAAGTACTAAAGATGTAGCACTGCCCGTGGAACACATCAGAACCACTCAGGGCACAAGGGATCTGCTAATAGCTTCCCTTCGGTTTCTGCTTTTGGAGATCATGGAGTTTGGGCTGTAGGGGATGAAGTAAACCCCTCCTGGGATGAATCAGATCTCTAAAACTGGGAGTGGTCAGAGAAAAAGACTGCCAAATAAAATACAGGATGCCCAACTCCCGTACGGGACAGACTCCTACTAAACATTCTCCATCATTTTTCTGCAGTTCACATGGAACAGGGCAGCCTTTAGTTTTATTTGCTAAACCTAGCAACCCTACATGGAGGTGGCCACCTGAGTCTCCCAGATGAGGCCTGTGGCCCGTGGCGGACTAGAGAGGGAGTCAGTGAAAGGCAGAGTTGGGCTAGCAGCCTGATCAGAGTCCCTGGAGTCACCCCCCAGACGGAATCAGAAGAGCCCCGTGGAGCTCGTGACTTGACAGGGGCCCAGAGCCTCACTCCCTTAACCAAGACCTTGCTGGAGGACGGAGGAGAGGGCACGGGTGGAGACTCAGAGCAGAAGAATGTGACAGTTTGCCTAGGTGGGTGGACCCACCAGACCAGATGGAATCAGGTTCCCCTCCCAGCTGGGGGAGCCCGGGACCAGCTCTCGGGCTGGTTCCCTTACTGCAAAGCAGGGAAGACCTACTGACAGACTGGCCAAGCGGGGCTCCCAGCAGGCCTACGACACATCTTGGTTTCCTTCCCTTTTTTTTTTTTTTTTTAAAAAAAAAAAGGTACTTTCCTTTCAGGATTAGAATTCCTACAATAGCAGCCAAAGGGACTGCGCTGGGAACAGATGCTACAAGCGTTAACATGCCTCCCTTTCTGGTACACAGAATGCAAACATGAGCCTCTCCTGGGCTTTAGGCCACAGACCCACAGGGGGCACTTGCCTGGCCCACAGCTGCTCGCCCAGAGGAAGTGAAAGATGATGGGCTTGCAGGGAAGGCAAGGTGCCCACTAAAGCCTGCACCTGCCTTGCTGTCACGGGGCACGGTGTTGGGCCACCCAGGGTCAAGCTGTGGTCTTTCACTGATTGGCCATGTAAATGTGAGCATGATACTTGGCCCTCTGAGCCTGAGATCAAATTCAAGACGTACAGTTTGTGTAACTTTCCATATGCTACACATCAGTAAAAATGTTTAAAAATAAGGGGTATTCTATTAGAAGTTAGGCTAACAGTTAACTAATCATGGGGCTAATTAGAAAACATGTCATCCTTTTTACAGCAGCCTTGAAGTTAGGAGTTGCAAACTATTAGCCCTTAGCTTTCCTGCCGGCCAGCTCACCCTCTTCAGGTTTGCAGCGCAAACAGAAAACTAAACTACTGCTTTCTCTGCACCCAAATAAAAAGTAACTACCATGTGGCACTGTCTATGGGACACACACAATCCCCCACAGGCTCAGAGGGGAGGCTATGGCTGTGTCAGTTATGAGCGGGCTCCTGGGTGTACACATTATTGTAAATATATAACACATTATTTTCACAGGGGAAGGTCTGCCTACACTGTTTGAGCCTACACTGTGAGGGCTAGGGGTTCAAGGCTAGGCCTCGCCACTTACCCGCCCGCCCCCGCGCGTGACCTTGGATCAGTCACTTGATCTTTATAAGCCTCTGTGTCCTCATCTGTAAAATGGGGATAACAACAGTATTAGCTCAGAGAAGGCAAACGGAAAATGCAGGTGATGGGTACCAGCAGGCAGGGCTCAATCAACATGAAGTAGCACTGCTCTCTTTCCTGGCCATTGAGGGGAAGTTCCAGAGGTGATCTCAACCCGGGGCTCAGGGCCCACCCAGGGCAACCCACGGCCAAGGGAAAGGCTTCCAGGGAGAGGAGATTAGGCTGGCGGAGCTTTCCGCCTCCTTGGGGCCTGCAGAGGGATTAAGTCTTTCCATAAATACACGGACTCCCTCCCATCCAGGGTGGGGACAGGGAACCCATGGTGGGTGTGGCCTGCACAGGTAAGGGGCTGCTTTCTGGAGCTGACCCAGCCTGGGCCAGGGGCTCCCCCCCAGCACCCCGGGGGCTCTGCAGGAGACACACACCCCCCCCCCCAGCCTGCCAATCCAGGTGCGCCTCTGGGATCCTCAGTTTCCCCATCTGTAAAATGGGGTGTTTGTTCCACAAAAGCTACACCAATCACAGGGGGGCCCTCTCCAGGCTGCCCTCCCTGCCTCTTCCTCCCCATTCTCAGCGAGCTAAGGAGGCTCAGCCAGCTCAGACTTCGGATTCCGCCGCGGCCTAACAGCCTGGGGAAGTCTGAGAGGTCCCCTCTGCCCTGACCCCGCCCACCGCGGGGCGTGGGGGGGGCGCCGAGCCGGGCTGCGGGTCCACCTGAGTGAGGAGTGCCTCCCCCCAGTTCCGCTGAGCTGAGCGGGCCGGGCAAGTGGGCGAGCGCGTTCGCACTGGTCGCCCTTTGCGGTTGCAAACCTGCTTTGATGCCCTGGGAGCGAAGGGGGCCCCTAAGTGAGGCGGTTCATAAATAATACATTCTGAAATACTCGATAGAGGGGAAATGGTTCCTCTCCAGGCCTCCTGCCCCCACCCCCGGCCGGGCTCCTCTCCAGCTTTCAGGAATGACGGTCTGGCCCATTCCCCAGGAACTCGTGACCGCGTGGGGTGGCAGGTGAAGACTGGGGGACCGGCGGCTTCCACGGGCGGGGACACACCTCCCCACGCGCCCAGTGTAAGTTGCAACATGGCCAGAGGGGGCCCAACTTTCCCAAAACCTGCATCTCCGCAGAAAAGTCTGCAAGAAGTAGGGGGAGACGCCCGAGCCCGCGAGGGTCCCCTACCGCACCCTACCCCGGGATGGGGGCCCGTCCTCCCCAGGGACGGCCGTCCCGCGGCGGCAGCTGGCGGGGCGTGGACGCTGCTCGGCGGGGCTGCCGCTTCGGGAAAGAGCAGTGTCTTCCAGAAGGGAAGGGAGGGGTGGGGTGGGGTGGGGTGGGGAGCGCCGGGCACCCCGGGGCGCGCGGCGCGAGGCACTTACCTCTTCCCGGTGGGCTCACTGTGGGCCCCACCCGGGCGCCCGTAGCGGCGACGGCCGGGCTCGAGGGGCTGCGGCGACGAGTCTAAAGGAGAGAGCAGCTTGGGTCATGGCCCGAGCCAGGCAGTGCGCTGGGGGCCCGCTCCGCCCGGGCCGGCACTCCCGGCACCCGCCGCTGCCGCCGCCGCCGCGCGCACGCCTCCCCCGTCCCCTCCCCGGACCCCGGGGGCGGTGCCGACTGCAGCCCCGCCCCGCCCGCGGGCGCCGGATCGCACCGGCCCGGCGCTGGGGCGGAACGGGGCCGCCCGCCGCCTCCCTAGGGAGTGAGCCGGGGGCGCGCCCTGCGCCCGCGCCTCCCGCTTCGCGGACTCACTCTGTTCTTAGTTTCCTCTCACCCGGCTGGTGGGGGAGGGTGAAGGGGGATCCCGGGGAAAGTTCGGGCCGCGGGACCCTCCACCGTTCTCCCCTGCCCGAGGCTGGGTGCCAGGACCCCTGCGGCTGTGCATCCCCAGCCCTGGGTGGTGGAAGTGGGGCCTTGGGGTTCCCCCACACCGCATGGCTGTGCTTGAGTTAGCCCCACCGGCGAGCCGCGGAGAAGGGGAGTGGGGAGAAGGGAGTCTCCACCATCTCCCCGCCTGCCCCGGGCCCTGGGGACGTGCTAGCAGCGCGCCCCTCCCCAACTCCCACCCATCCAGTCGCTGGCCTGCGGGGCTTCGGATGACCCGCGTTATCATAGGGACGGCTGCCCCGCTGTTAGCGTCTTTCCCTCTGGCTCTCCACACAGGCTTTTGCACCCCACTTGGGCTGAGCTAGCCGTGTGGCCGGCTGGGGGTGGCAGGTTTTCTGAGGACGCCCAGCTGAAAAGAATTGCCCAGTTCCCCGCCTGTGGGTGCACAGGCCTTGTATCCAGATGGGTTTCTCCGGAGGCCTCCCACAGAGAGGAGGCCTCCACAGGCACCTACCGTGCCAGGAGGAACAAAGCCACCCCCACCAAGTGGTTTTCACATCATTGTGACAAGCCTGTCGGGCCAGCTCCATCTAACAATCGAAAGGTCTCCACGCCCTGTGGTCTGTGTCCTTCTGGAAACAGAGGAAGGGAAACTGAGTCTCGGAGCAGGACAATGACATGCCTTCAGTGGACGCAGGAAATTGATTCCGCGCTCCAGCTGTGTTCTCTGTTTGAGTCATTCCTAAAAATATTGCAAAATTTTGGGTGCCCAGACCATATCCAGTCCAAAATGATAGGCAGGAAATGTATCATGCCTCTCCACAAACAGAGGAAGGTGGGGGGGGATGGCCCCCACCCCAGCCTCGGGAGGGAAAGTGGGCTGCGAGTGTCCTGTGCCCTTGTTTCTCCCTGGGGAGCTGTGGGACAGCCCTGCTCCCCATCGTCTCCTGAGACAATGGCAACAAAGGAGTGGGGAACCCCTGGGGGCAGCAGGCACCCACACTTTTCACATAGAAGCAAGAACAAGGCTGAAAAGCCTGGAGGAGGCCGAAAGCTGGTTGTGAGACCCGCTTTTTCTGCACCCCGGTTTCCACAAGGAGAAATGGGGACCCATTCATTTCTACAAACACCTTTTGAGCATCTGCTCTGTGTTGGGCACCGGGTACCACAGTGAACGGGGTGACCGGTGCTAACTGAGCGCCACCTGTGCCGGTGGCCGGAGGTCACCAGTGGTTCGGGACAGCCCTGCTCTCTCCATTTCCCAGGAGTGGGGCCTGAGGCAGAGGGAAGGACAGAGGTCACCCAGCAGGTGAGAGGTGCATTCCTGCCCCAAGCAGAGATGGGAGCAGCCAGTCTCCTGGGAGAGTTTAGCCCCACGCAGCACTGGGGGAGGGGATGCAGGGCTAATGAGAGGAGGCCCAGGGGGATGCATTTTGTCAGCTGTAAGGGGCTGAGATGAGGAATGGAAAGAATCCAGTTTAATTTGCTTCCTCCCCCAGGAGGCCTCTGCCCCTTGAGACCGGCGAGGTTGGTGCTCCAGTATCAGAGTTTCTCAATGTCAGCACTTTGGTGTCCAGGGCTGGTTAACTCTGTGCCATGGGGGCTGCAGGATGTCCTGGCCGCCATCCACTGAATGTCAGTGGCATGGCCCCCTGCCCAAGTGGCGACAACCAAAAGCATCTCCAGACATTGCCAGGGGACATCCCAGCGCACAACTGCTAGTGAGAACCCCTAAGAGTATTCCAGGGACTCCTAACCCTGGCAGCAGGCCAGGGTCCCCAAGGGGGGGTGGGGGTGGAGCTTAACTGATACATAAGTAAATGCAAATGAATGAAGCAAACACCCAGGTCCTGGTTCACCCCAGGGACCCTGACCTAATTGGTCCAGGTAGGGCCCAGGTAGGGGTGGTTTGTAAAAACTCCCAGGTGACAGTAATTGACTGATCCCATGGAGCAGCTGTCCCTAACCTTTTTGGCATCAGGAACCGGTTTTGTGGTAGGCAATTTTTCCACAGATGGGGGTGGGGATGGTTTCGGGATGATTCAAGGGCACGATATTTATTGTGCAACTTTCTTTCCATTATTATTATTATGTCAGCTCCAACTCAGATCATCAGGCATTAGATCCCAGAGGTTGGGGGCCCCTGCCGTAGAGAATCTCCACTCGAGCATCCAAGCCCACTTGGGAGGACAGACACTTCAGATAGAGATGAACCTACTGCAAATCTGTGCAAAGCCTGGATGGGTCCTGATGTGAACAAACCAACTAGAAAAAGATATTTGCAAGATAATAGAAAACTGAACACAGTCTGGGTGTTAGATAATATTAAGAAATTGCTACAAATATTAAGAGATGTGATAGTGGTATCAGTGTGTTTTTTAAAGCACTTATCTGTTAGTGATCTGTGTGAAAAAGTATTTGTGAGTGAATTAGTAGTAAGACGAGGTTTTCCAAAGGCAAGGGAAATAGATGGGAAGTCCCTGGCTGTCCAGTGGTCAGGACTCGGCACTTGCACTGAGGGCTCGATCCTTGGTCAGGGCGCTAAGACACCACAAGCTTCGTGGTGAGGCCAAAAAAAACCAAAGACGAGGAAAATAAAAAGGTGGCAGAGTGAGGACAGCCGGGGCAGCAGGTGGGATACAGGGCACCCTGGAGACTGGCCTTCCAGAAGCCCCTGAGCGGGTCTGAGAAGCCAGGCCTTCCTTGTCACCATGGTGTGACCTCCCCTCACCGCCTCAGCACCACCAGTCACACGCTGTGTTGGAGGGTTTGGGGCCCAGAGGGTCTCCCCAAGCTGTCAAGGAGGCCAGGGAGCAGTGCTGCTTGGGGAGGGGAGAGACTGCTCCATTCACAACCCCCCAGTCCTCACCAGGAGCTAATTCCCTGCTTGAGGCACGTCTATGGAATTCAGTTTCATATTCAACAATCGTTTGTTGATCACAATGGGAAGTTAAAGACGACTGCAAGTTCTTCCTCCCTACCTTGCACCGCCCCCCACCCCTTCACTGAAGGACACATTGATTCCCCCCCCTTAACGCCATGACCCTGAGATCGCAGGACCAAAGGAAGGCGAGAGAAGTGAGGCGGTACCTGTCCTGGGACTCAGCTCTTCCGAGCCTGGGTGGCCTCTTCCTCCATCTGGGAAGACTTGCTCTCAGGAAGGCTCCCTCTCTGAACCCCACCACCATGCTGAGACACCCAAGCCACAGGGACAGCCCGGGTGTAGACCGCCTGGCAGAGACCCAGCTGAGCTCCCAGCCGATGCCCAGCCCCCAATACCTGCCCTGTGGGCCAGGCCAGACATGCAGCCCAGGCAAGTCCCCACCTGGTGACAGCAGCCCCAGCTGGTGTCATGAGCTGCCCAGGAACCACCTGGCCGAGCCCTGGCAGCGCACAGAGTTGGGAGAAAATGTACAAAGGTGGCTCTCTTAAGCCACTGCTGTTTTAAGTCTGGGGATGTTTGTTACATGGCAGTAGGTAACTGATGAGAGTGGCCCTGCAGTGACCACTGTTGGATCTGGGTGACAGGTATGTGGGGACTGGTTGTGTAATTCTCTCTCCATGTGTGTTTGAAAATTTCCTAAGTCACAAAAGAAACACAGGCCCTGGGGAGACAGCGCCCAGGTAAGGAGGACATGGGCCATGCAGGCGAGACACACCGGTCTGCAGGCCTATCTCCCCAAGAAGGTCACCACAGATTCACAGACTTGCTCTGTAGCTCCCGAGGTCGTCAGAAGGGGCCTGAGGCTTAGCCCTACCCTGGAAGAGGCTGACATACCCCTGTCCACACCCCAGACTGGGCCTGGCCCTCCTCGGGGCTCCCGGAGGCTGAGGTTGGTTTCGAGGTAACTGGGCACCAGGCGTGGTTTCAAGCACAGCTTTGAGCGGCCTTCAGAGGTGGGTACCATCAGTGCCCCCTTTGTGCAGGCGAGGTTACTGAAGCCCAGAGAGGTGCTGTCACCTGCCCAGGTCTTGGGCTAGTGAGGACAGAGCCTGGTTTCCGCACTGTGCCGGGCGCCAAAGCAGTGTCCACCAATAGAGGCAGAGTCACAAAAGTCGATGGCCACTTCATCAACATCAAAAACTTCAAAAGACATCTTTAAGGAAATGAAATGCGAGGAGAACATATTTGTATGTCTTATGTCTGGTAAGGGACTGAATATACAAAGGACTCTCAGAAATCAACACGGAGGCAAATAACCTAAGTAACAACTGACATTGAAATTGTGAAAAGTTTTAAAGAGACTAGAATAGATATTTCGCCAAAGGAGACATAAAAATGGCCAAGAAGCACACAATGAGAAGCTCAGTCTCATTAGTCTTCAGGGAAATGCAAGTCAAAACCACAGTGAGACACCACTGCTCACGTACTCAGATGGTGCTAATCAAACAAAATAAGGTAAAGAGAAAATAACAAATGTTGGTGAGGATGTGGAAAAACTCTTAAATTATTGCCGGGAGTGTAAAGTGATGCTACCACTTTGGAATCCAGCGTGGCAGATTCTTAGAAAGCTGAATATTTATTCATCAGCCCATCACTTCCCCTTTGAGGTACGTACCCAAGAGAATTGCAGCCATGAAATTAAAAGACACTTGCTCCTTGGAAGAAAAGCAATGACAAACCTAGACAGAGGATTAAAAAGCAGGGACATTACTTAGCCTACAAAGGTCCCTCTAGTCAAAGCTATGGTTGTTCCAGAAGTCATGTATGGATGTGAGAGTTGGATCATAAAGAAGGCTGAGTGCCAAAAATTGATGATTTCAAACTGTGGTGCTGGAGAAGACTCTTGAGAGTCCGTTGGACATCAAGGAGATAAAACCAGTCAATCCTGAAGGAAATCAACCCTCAATATTCCCTGGAAGGACTGATGCCGAAGCTGAAGCTCCAATACTTTGGCTACCTGATGTGAAGAGCTGACTCATTAGGAAAGACCCTGATGCCGGGAAAGATTGAAGGCGGGAGGAGAAGGGGATGACAGAGGATGAGATGGTTGGATGGCATCACTTACTCAATGGACATGAGTTTGAGCAAACTCCAGGAGATGATGAAGGACAGGGAACCCTGATGTGCATCCATGGGGTTGCAAGGGGTTGGACACAACTGAGCGACTGAACAACAGCCTAAGAGAAATGAATGTGTATGTCCACAGGAAGACTTGTGCACGTTTGTGCACAGCAGCACTATCACAAAAACCAAATGGTGGCAACAATCCACAACAAGCCAGACACAAAAGGCCACACAGAGGATGATTCCATGTCCATCCATGTCTATCGAAGTGTCCAGATAGAGACAGAAAGTAAATTGGGTTCCAGGAGCTGGGGCTGAAGAGGGACTGCAGTAGTCCCAGGGATCTGTAAACTTACTAAAACTGCTGGAGTTGTGCCTGCAAGGCAGGTGAGTTTTATGGCATGTGAGTTACACCTCGTGAAAGCTATAATACGACAACCACCCCAGTTGCCATTAACACCACCTATACCTCCCGGGAGGCGTGGCCACGAGATCGAGGGAGGAAAAGGCAGGTGTCCCAAGGGGCCGGGCCCTGGAATGACCAGATGCTTGGATGGATGGCAGCTGGCTGCAGGGGCAGAGGCTTCTTGGGCTCTGGGGCTTTTGGAAAGAGTGGAGGTGGGTGAGCCACACCGCCAGCCTGGGGCCGGGTCTGCAGCAGAGAGGAGGGGGAGCCTGGGACCCTCTTGTGGGGGGGTGCTGGAGCACCCTCACACAGGCGCAAAGGGCGCGCCCTAAAAATGAAGGGCAGGAGGGTGTGGGAAGAGGAGGGAAGACAAAAAGCTGGAGCGACTGGAGAGGGAGGTGGAGGAGGAGGGAGGCACCTTGGAGAGCACCTCGCCCGCGCAGGCAGGCGGCTAGCAGTGAGGGAACAAGCCTGGGGTTTCCAGCCCACACTCATGACGCAGAAGGAATGGAAGAGGGGCAGTCCTTCCTTCCTTCAGCTCCTCACGTATGGAGCGTCTCACAAGGGTGCCAGCAGCTTGGGGAACACACAGCAGCACGGGGGCGGGGGGGAAATGTGTGTAGGGACAAGCTTGGTGGGGGTCGGGGGCAAAGTTCAGGGATGCAGGGGCAGATGGCAGGGTTCAGGGACAAGGCATCAAGTTGTCCCTGAGGCAGTGTGGCAGGATGGGACTGACAGCAGGGCAGCCCTGCCTTGGAGTCCCTTGGGAGGCCAGCCAGAGGAGCCAGGGGGTGAGGGCCTGGGAGCCAAGGTGGGTCAGAGTTGGGCAGACCAGCAGCTGTGGAGGGCTCAGAGTTTGGCAGCAGCTGGTCATGGAGGCGTCTTGGCAGGGCGGTGGGTGGGTCAGAGAGGCTGCATGGCTGGCTCCAGCCTCCATGGGAGAGGGTGGCTGGTAGGCGGGGGAGAGAGTGCAATCAGGGGGATGGGGAGGGGGGCACGGGGGCCAGTGGGCTCCCATGACCCCCCAAATAGTCCCAGAGTAAGAAGAAAAAAAAACCCATCAACGAAAACAAACAAGACTGCAGCGGCAAGAATGATGAAGCCCTTCATGTCCTGATGGGGAGAGATCCCCAAGTGAAAGACAGCAAGCGGCAGAAGCGTGTACAAACATTTAGTCCTTTTTGCGGAGGGGAACACGGCCTTGCGTTTGTTCGTGTGGACACAGGAGCAAAGAGTCGGACATGACTTCGTGCGCTGAGCACGCATGCACGCATGTGCTGGACGGACTCTGGAGGGATCTGCAGAATCCAGCGCCTGGCTGCCTTGGAGGGAGGGAGTGGGCTGGGAGCAGAGGCCCGGGGGCTTTTTATTCCCTTCCCTTCAGCCCCTTTGAAACCTGGATCAGGAGAATGGATTACCCAGTTCAAAAGTTAAATTAAAGGGGAAAAGAATCCATGGGTTTTAAAGTATAGGGAAATCTGCAAAACAGAGGCTAAGGAAAGTTTGAGACACAGAAACGTTCTTTGGTGCTAAATCTGGTCTTCACAAAAGTTCCAATGCTTTGAAGGCAGACTGAAGTTTAGCTTCGGGAGCATTCCTGAGCAGGCTTGATTGTGCTTGTTAAATTTAATATGTTACTTATAGCCAAACAACTTCAAATGCCAAACTGAAAGAATTATTTGAAAAATGTTCCAGAACCAGAGGTGTTTTTCGGTGGGTGTGGGTGGGATTTCTCATCAGTCCTCCAGGCTCTGAGATGGGATGTCCCATGGCAGATGTGGAGTCTAACCTGGGCTGGGTTTGAGGTCATGGGTATGGGGTGGTTTTTAAGAAGAGGGGAGGAGTAGGCACGGATCTGAGACCAGGGGGAATATGGTAAGGGCAGGAGGAGTCAAGGAATCTTGCGGATGAGTTGCTTTGTTGAATGAATTCTGATCTTGCCAGTTTCGGGGAAATGGCAGACCTAGGAACCATCTTGAAGACAAAAAAGATTGGTACTTTGTGACCAGTAGGGAATTTGTGGCTTTTGGGAGATATTCCTATTCGTAAACCTATTTGTTCTTATAAGAACAACAGCACCATTTATTTGAGGCCATGTCTGGGGACCCCGGGCTTCCCAGGTAGCACAGTGGTAAAGAACCCGCCTGCAATGCAGGACACTCAGGTTCGATCCCTGGGTCAGGAAGATCTCCTGGAGGAGGCAATGGCAACCCACTGCAGTATTCTTGCCTGGAGAACCCTATGGACAGAGGAGCCTGGCGGGCTACAGTCCAGGGGTCTCAGAGTCAAACACGACGGAGCGACTAAGCGCGTGCGCACACACTGGGGGCCTCACTGTGCACACCCCACAGCCCTGTGCCAAGTCCATGCAGAGGTCAGAGGCAAGACCTGGTCCAAATCTCTGCCCTCCTATTTACTTGAGTGAGCTGGGCCTTCCTGGCTCAGCTTAGGAGAAGCACTCCAAAGGGGATGTAGATGGGCTGGGGGAAGTGAGTCAGGGAAAGGAGGAGGGAGGCCAGTGCCCTGATGGAGCCAGAGCATGAGCTGGTGAGGAGCCTGGGACTAGGAAGGGGAAGGAAGGTCCAGGAGGTAAGGCTGCTGGGGACAGGCGGGCGGTGGAGGTTCAGACAGTCCTCCCTGCCCGACAGAGCCTGAGGGCACTGCCGGTCACTATCCAGCCTCAGACCTAATGGTCACCATTCGTCACAGAGAAAAGAATAAACACTGTTGTTAAAATATTTCCCACCTACAACCACTAAAACATGTCCAAGCATTGTGTCTGTGGGGTCAGACTAGGTTACCCAAAACCTTAGCTTAAGTCAACTCTACTTCCCAAAGTTTCCAAATCGGTCAGGTTTCCGTACATCTTTGGAAAGGGGGTTGGGATTCCCTGGCCGTTCAGTCCAGGCTCCCCATCTGCTGGGGTAACTCCAGAGAACGCTGCAGGCCGGAGCCTTTGGGCTCTTTTTTTAAGCCCTGGGCGGCTCAGCTGCCCAGACAGGCAGCTTCAAAGTTAACCTTTCTCAAGGCATCAAAGCCGGCGCCATGCCTGGGGGCCGAGAGCAGCTCTGTGTTCTTCCGGGAAGCCTTGAGCAGCCAGAGTGCTGGCCCGGAACCCCCGGTGTGGTCCCGGCCTCCCGGGGGCTTTGGAGGAACGTTCAGGGACAGGGCCAGCAGGGTGGGGGCAGTGACTGGGAGGGGCTGACCCTGAAGTGGCCTGAGCGGCTCCGCAGGGCAGATTCCCTGCTCTCTGTGGGGCTTTCCGGGAGGCCCTGCTCAGGCAGCCTCTCTGCAGGCAGCCGGCTCCCATGGCCTCTCCTCACTCCCCTGGGGCGGGAGTAGATGGCAGAAAGGAAGGGTGTCAGGGCTCTGGAGCAGGAGACCAACTGCTCTGCACCGTCTGGAGAACGTCAGGACTGGGCCACAGGGGCCCAGATGCCCCGTGGTTCTGTTTGCTCGGTTCAGTGTCAGGTTGCTCACTCACTCATCAAACC